CTCTCCCCCTATGTAAGCATGTCAGTTTAGCAAATTGCGGGCCTACAAGCATAATTGTTAGACAAGTTAATGGCAGGGTGATAGATTGAAAAAAATTTTAGGTTGAGATGCAAATGACCCTTATAATTAAATTTAAGGATATTTGTAATATTTCGTATGTAGTTTAGGGACACAAATGACCCCTAACCCTAAAATATATACCTTAATTTTGATCTCACTTATAAGATAAAGAGAGAATTTTTTTTTGATCTTATTTGTAAGACACTCCTTTTGTTTTCAAATATATAAGAGAAATTACTATATGTTTTCTTGTTTTTTATTTCTATAAAGCAAAATTACAAATTTCAAGAAGTATTAATTATATTTTTTAAAATATCCCTCATGAATGGATAGTATCATTAAATTAGAGAAAGAACGTAAACTTTAATTACAATAACATTTTAGCCCAAACATTTCAACTTCAAATATGGTTATTAAGATTAACTAACTTTCTTAACTTGTATGAGTTGATTGAAATTCTCTTATATTTGAAAATGGAAAGAGCATGTTTTTGATTTTTTATTACTAGTTTCTTTCTTTTTTTTTTTAAACCTCCCAGTGGTGGTGGGAGAAAATACATTACATCATAAATGTTAAACAAATGTTAAGAAGAACGGATTGCAATGAATAATAAAGTATAAAACTAAATACTCGGATAAAATTTGCAAAGAGAGTGACCCTCAACAGAAAGATTTTGTATTCAAGTAATACACATGATAGTCAAGTATCCAGCGCACGATGTTCTCAAGAGATATGAAGTGAACACTTGCTTGATAATCGAGTAATGCATATAATAATATTATTAAAATATGGAGATTTAATAAAATAGATTTCAATTTCTTAAGACAATATTAGAAAGAGTTATAATGATGAGTTTTATATTTTCCTTAATTTTGATTAAACGTATATACTTAAATTGACTTATATAAATATGATAGGAGGGAGTAAGGCATTTTTCTAAAGTTATGATTGAAGTATTAAACAACTCTTCCCTTGAATTAGAATACTCTTATTAAAATTTAAAATTTAAAAAACTATAAGAAGAAAATTAAAGAAAATATTAAGAATATACAATTCGATACATTATGAAAGGAGGACAAAACCATTTAATCAAGGGAAAATTCAAAAAATAATTGTGTAATCACAAGTTTGATTAGTTAAACTATCTTCAATTTGGAAATTAAAATAGGTATTGGTGACTTATAGTGTTTTAATGTAGAAGTTGTATTTTTTTTTTTTTTATTGTGCACAAGCATCTCTTTATTAAAAGAAGTAGACTTGTTTAAAGCATGGTAAAATATAAATGTGGACATATCTTTCGGGTTTTTGAATTCTAATTTGATACTATGAGAACTGTTACTACCATTAGACTCAATCCTCATTGATAGTTAAATAAAGGCTATGTAATTATAATGACAGAACAAGACAATAAGACGAGAACTCAAAAATCTAAGTGCAAGAGACACGAAGCAGCCAAACCTTGCCCCACATTTTTTATTTCAGATGGAAGTCGGCACAAAGTTGAATGATTCAGCGAGATATATATGACCACAATTATTATCACAAGTTAATCATAGGAATGGAGAAGGAGGGAAAAATAAAGAAATTATTAGTTTTATTAATCGAAGTGTCGATTACTTTACACTTCCCTCATGTTGAAATCTCAAAGCTTCTTTTGTGTGTGAGTGTGTGTGTGTGTGTGTGTTTTTTTTTTTTAATGAACACTACATACGGGTAAGGAAGCTTGTGTAAAAAAAAAAAAACTATAGAGAATTGTAGGTGTAATAGTGCCCGTGGCCATTTTACAGATTTTATTGCCGACAATCAATGCATTCACAATTCACAATGAGATGTAAACGCCTTTCATCCAAGTGGTCTATTATATGCAATTAATGTTGACACATTAATTCCAACGTGTTTGCATACAATGTATTTGCTGATGATTACTCCCTTGGTTTTATTTAGAGCACTGAAAAATTATTTATTTTGATCATATTTTAATTAATTTATAAAATATCTCAATAATTATTATGTTCATCCTTTTTCATATTAAACAGTGAGAATGCTAATGCTATTGAATGTTAGAGTATTTTATTTTTAATGTATATATATTTATTAAAGGTAAATTTATAAACTTGCTAATTTTTTTATGTAGAGTTAATGAAGTTTAATATTTTATTTAATTTCAGTGAAAATACTGAAATTAACTTGAACTTGAGAGAAAAGGAAAAATTAGAACTTTGATTTTTAGACAGGGTTAGAGTTAATGAGCTTTTATCTTCTCCTTTCAATAATGATGTTGGAAATGCCTTTTACTCCCTCTAGATCATAACATAGAGCATTTTTTAAATTTTTACTTGATTTAAAATATAAAGCATTAATTTACTTTTTTCAACTATTCTCATACTTCATTAATAATTTTTTTTAAATGATGCATTAAAATTTTAATTATATCATGATTAGAACACTTATATAGAATACAAATGAAGATATAATTAACAAGATGCACTAATTTTTTTAAGAAATTTAAATTTTACTTAAATTTTTAATAATTGTGAAATAATTATCAATGTGATTCCAAGGAAATAAACTGTAAGGAAATTTGTCACATTTATTCAGATGGGCATGTAGGGTATAGGCAAAACGTTGGAGATAGTACATGTAAAAACAATAATTGAATTTTGGTGTTGTCTTTCAAGGAAAAAAAATCAGTGTGTCTTTGACTTCCAAACATTTATAATTCGTCCACCTATTCGGTTTTGATGAAAGAGAGGGAAAAACGACAAAAAAAAAAAAAAAACTTCTTGAAATTTTACTTTTTGCAAATAATTTCATCAATAGATTATGAAATTTCAAGTGATTTGCGTTTTTGGCTGCTATTAACAAATGATGGAGTATATACAGTTTTATAAAACTAAGCCTTTAGGTCCTTTTCTTATCTTAAATCTGTATGTAGGTCACAAGAAATTAGCAACCGAGGGCCACAGGGAATAAAAAGAAACTTTTTTTTTCCTTGTTCTTTTTAAAAAGAGATTCAACACAGCTATAATGGCTAGCTGTCCTAAATCGAAAAGGGTCAAAACTTATGCAGCCATCTATCTATATGTAGTAACAGTTAAAAAGATCTTAATAAGATTTAACTTTGTCGCATGCTCCTTCTATCTCGATCTCTTTCTTTCAAACGTACGCGCCCGAGGGGTGGGGGATGTCTTCCTTCGATCCCATTTATAAATTATATTTTAAAAAATTTATTTAATTTTATTTATAAATTATGATGTAATTTTTTAAATAATTTTTAAATTATTTTTATGAGAGAGAAAAGGTGACATAGCATTATTTTTTAAATTTATTATATAAGGACATATTTAAAATTTTATATACTTTATATATTATAATTTTTTATATTAATATTGATGAGATTAATATAAATGATTTATAAAAAGAATTGAATGAGTATATAAATATATTATGTTATAGCTCATCCATATGATTCAATTTGGATATCCATGGCAAATTAATAACCCGAGTACTTTGCATTGTTTTTAAAGTTGATAACTAAACTGAATTTGGGGGGAAAAAATTGAGAGAGCGATAGCTAGTTGGGTGCGCCTCAAAATCCATATTTGAGATATTATCATATATAATTGTAAGTTATTCAAAGTAATTTACATTAAACTTCAATAGGCATGCACGTGTGTGTGTGTTTTTTCTCCAAGGATTTCATCCTTATTACATGATTAGATAGCAGTCAACTAAGAATATGTGTTGGATTGGAATCATGCTTCTTCTTCTTGTTTTTATTTGGGTAATTCGAATCATGCTTTTTAGTTTGATAGAAACTAGTAATAAAATTAGGAATATGAGCTAGGCTTGATGGGCTATTATCCATTTAAGAGAGCAATATTAAAAAAGTCTTATTACTAACATCTTATTTTAAAAAAAATATTTTATGTTCTAGGATGTTGAATCTTTCTCAAAAATATTGTACATATAATTTGGGAAGGAAATAATATATTACTTATTTTGAATTTTATAATATCATAATTAATATTTCATGGTGATTAACATAGAATATTATAATGTCAAACTAAATTTTAAAAATAAAAATGAGTTTCCAGCATGGCTTATAAAAAGGATTTTAGAACTAAGCCCATGCGAGCCTAGTCCTGGCCATAACTGATTGTATGAAATTGTGTGCAAGTGGGATCAAAACTTATGACTTTTCACGGGGCCTTTCATACGATTAGGTGATACTTCTTCCGATCCAAAGTATAGTCATTTTTTCTGTTAATTTTGGTTAAAATATAAATAATTCAGTATATATAATTTTTTTTCATTTTATTCTTTATATTTATTAACTTAAATTCTTGTATAAATTTATGTCTTACTCATCGTGAAATTCACGAAGTATATTTTATAAGAATAAAAACTTTGTTAAGATACAAATTTTTCTCTTAATAACTGCTTATATGTTAAATCAGAGAAAGTATTTGCTTTGGAATCACTTTTCACGTGACATGATTTGCTCATGAACGAAGGTACAAGGTTTAGGGTAGCATCAAACGGCCTAAACAAGCTGCAATATAAGATTAATTCATCCGTGTTAGTAGGTAATTTTCTGAACACTCCCGAATGAGAAAATTTCATACTAATAATACTTAGACGAGAGTGTGCCAGCTGCGCTGGTGAATGCTTCCAAATCAATGCAGGTCCCTGAGCACAGACACACACGTGACACACACGCACACTCTCTCTCTCTCTCTCTCTCACACCAGGTTAAACACAGTATGCATAACTATTTGGTGTACAATATTGATGCACCCTAATAGAGGACCACTGATTATCAATGGGTCGTCGTCGACTTGTTCTGATTTTAGATATTTCATTACAGACATATATACACCTCCCTTCCCTCTCTTTCTGCATTTATTCATTATCATCTTTCTTTCTGGGTACTTCTCCCTCGTAGGACCACACACACACACCCCCTCTCTCCCTGATTATCAGGTTATGCTCTCGTGTCGTTATATATATATATATATATATCGCTGTGCCTACACACGCACACACAAATCCTCATCTCTCTAGTCTCTCTCTGTCTCTCTGAGCAGGTGAGAGAGAGTAGGGATTACTGTGGTTAATTAATATATAATATAATGGGATTTGAAAGAATAGTGTGTGTTATTATGTTTCTGTGGTTAGTACTGTTATGGCTTTCTTGTTGTGGCTCCTCGTCGTCGTCTCTGGAGGGAGATAGAATAGAGGAGTTGCCGGGGCAGCCGCGAGTGGGGTTCAGTCAGTTCTCCGGTTACGTGACGGTGAACCGCCGGCATGGGCGAGTTTTGTTCTACTGGCTCACTCAGGCCACCTCTTCCCCTCACAGCAAGCCTCTTCTTCTCTGGCTCAACGGAGGTTAGTTCTCTTTCTCTCTCATCACTTCTTTTTGACCATATAAATGGTGAAACTGCAAACATACTCTGCAGCATTATTTTATGAACATTCTGGTTTTTGGAAGCTCTCTGGTTTAATCGTTCACGTTTCTTTCAGAGTTCAGACCAGTGGAACTGTGTTTACGCACACACACACACACACACACTCTTCATCTCCCTCCAGTCCCTTGCACAAGGCAAATTCTAAAAGTTTTCTTTTGTTCTTAATATAATACAAGACAATGTTAGAGTAATTAATTTTTTATAAGCGATATAAACCTAAGCAAAACATATATGCGCGCGCGCGCTCAAATATGATTATTGAAGGACTGAGAAAAAAGTGAGTTTGTAGAGGTGCTGCAATGCTAGCTTTTTCATATTCATCATGAGCAATGATGTACTAATTATTTAGTTAATATTTTCTATCTTTCTATTATCTACTATCTATTAGTATATAAAAAACCCCACGCGTGTGTGCGTGAATCCTTTTTGAAATATCATTTTGATTAAATTAAATGATTCCATATATTTATCAATGATATATATATAGAAAACAATAAGATTACTATACAAAACAATAAAATTAATTAAAAAATAAAGACTAGCTTAATTAATACTCATTTGGTCCTATATATAATTAATTAAAGGACAAAGAGATATTTGTTTTAGTTTTATTTATAAAACACTTCAATGATTATTGTATCTATTTTTACTCTTTTATCTTTATTAAATATTTTGAAGATTATTGAATACTATAGTATTTCGTTTTTAAAATATGTATGTTTAATAAGGATAAAGTTGAAAACTTGTTAAATTTTTTGATAGAGTTAATGAAATTTAAAATTTTTCTTAACTTTAATAAAAAATTAAAAATAACTTATAAATAAGACAAGAGAAGGTAAGATTGATTTGCAATATTCATGTCTAATTGGTGCATTATATTGTTTTTGAGGGCAAGGTGTAATATGTTTTAATGGGAGGAATACATTAATTAAAGAAAAGTAAATTAAGAAGGCTGAGATTATTTTTTCTGATCTTATTTACAAGTTACTTTTGACATATTTCACTGATACAATTTTTTTTAAATCTCATTAACTTTATTTTAAAATTTAATAAATTTGCACCTCTATTTTAATAAAGACAAAAAATATATATTTATTCTAGCATTTAGTAAAAGTAGTATATAAAAATAAATATAAAAAATAGTGGAATATCTTATAAATAAAATGAAAATCAATTTTCTTTTTCTACTCTATAAACAAGATCAAAGGAGTATGTTATACTATGTTAAATTAGCTTCTTCTCACTTCCTTTGAGCCCACACTTAAAGACACATTCACTCGTCCCACATGTTCATCACCCCACTCTCTTAATTGCCTTGCCCTCTTACCAAACGCAACCCCATCCACCTTTTTTGATTTGTGTATGACTTTTTATCTGTCCGGTCCTAAATATAAGACTTTGTTGAGGGATTTATTTGTTTTGTTTCTAATTTCTAAATGTATGACTTCAATCTTTTTTATCATGTTATATTTTTTTTCCATGCATTACCGTTATTAATTTTGTTGTTTTTCTCACTCAATCTCCCACGACATCCTTGTTAAAAAGGAATATTTTAGGGAACGTGACACGTATTTTATACAGAATAAATAATGGTAAATAATTAACTCAAATAATTTTATTAATATTTATAAACTAATTAACTATTTCTTATAGTTAAGACTAGAGGAGTATATATTGATCATCTGGGCAAAATTTAGATAAGTTAAGGTTATTTGTAATTATTTTATTAAATTGAAAAATTAAAATTAAAATAATCAAGCTTGGACTCCCCATCCACCCCTTTGGTACAACTAATAACTAGTCCATGGTGTCGGTATTGAATGTTTGATTTGTACTTGAAGAGACCAGATTTGAAGGTATGTGGGAAACTTTTAAAGTGAGAGGCTTTTAGTTTTTTTTTTTTAAAGAAAATCAAGCAAACTTTGTTTAGTACACTAAATATAGAAATGGGGTGTAGGCTTAAGGGTTCACAAAAGCTTCGGATTAATAATTAATGAGAGGCTTTTAGTTTTTTTTTAAAGAAAATCAAGCAAATTATAAATAAGATTTCATTAATTATATGTTTAAATCTTTCTTCTACTCATTGTCTGCAGAAAATGATGTATGAGGCTTTGCTAATAGTGGTTTTTTTTTTGGGCCAAAAAAGGCTTCATTAACAGATAATAATTTATGAATGTTTCTGCAAAAAAATTTTAAGCCTGATATTTGCTATGATCCTAGTAAGTTTCAAAACCCAACTCATTTAAATTTATTGCCAAGAACATTTTTTTTGCACAAAATAAATATTATAATTTCATTCTTATGATATGATGGTAATAAGATATCACCTACGTTCTTATTTATAAGATAGAAAAAGAAAAAATTTTTATATTCTATTATAAATCATATTATTAATTTTTTATTACAAGTTTTTTCTCATATCTCCCATTAATTGTTGGTAGAAGAAAATATGTTATTCATATATATATATATATATATATAAATAGAGGCAAAATTTGAAATTTATTAAATTTTCAGATAAGATTAATAAATTTTAATTTTTTTTAATTTTAATAAAATATGTTAAAAATAATTTATATCATAAATAAAATTAAAGAGAATATTCTACCACAGAAGATGAATGTAAGGAAAAGTTTCAACTTTCAACATTTAATATCATTGTGTCACAAAAGCGGACCCCTACTTCAATATAAAAGCAACACATTCTGTTGATTCTGTTTATATTGGAGTCCAATCAACCTCTCTTTATATTCCTTTGCATGATTTTCTGCAAAAAACACTCTTGTTCTGACCTTATAAAATATAATAGAAAACATAAAAATTTAGAAATTCTCATGCAAATCCGTCTCAAAATTTTTAGGTCTAGAATTAAAAGAACTATTTCATATAAATTTGTTTAAAATAAAAGGGCACTTATTTTAACAATTAAAGAGAAGTGAATAAACTTATTTGGATCTTGAATTTGAATTTTGAAATATGTATATCCAGTAACATTAAATAAATATGCCTTCTGATTGGTTAGAATAGGAAGTGGTAATAGTCCAGGCTTTCCAAATGGGTAATGGAATCAAAAAAAAAAAAAAAACGCACAAAGCAAAAAAGAATACATGCATTCATGTATCATGTATGTACATCCATACATACACCTCTCGAGCTTCACAATTCCTCCACCGATAGCATCTATTATTCCCTGTTTGGAAGAGACGCATTCATCGAGTGGAGAGACGAACACAAAAAGTTACACGCTTCCTCAGTACCCTTTTCCCTTTCTCTTTCGTTTTATCTTCGCATTTTGGATATGAGGGAGAAAGAAACAACGATCAACAATGCAAAGGAAGCTAGCTTTTCAATTTTGTCGCTATAACAAAAAAGATGCTCTGCTCTTGTTCTTTGCCTCTGTTTTTACTTCAATCTTCAAAGCACGCACGTTCAGGGACAAGAGAGAGAATCACATGCTGCATTATGACCCTGTGGGTGTGGGGCTACTGAAATTCGGTGAATTAGATGCTTCGAGGCCTCGTGGACCAGCAATTTTGTATTGGTCCTCGTCCTTGACATGAAGATTATCAGTGGAAGGTGGAATTTGAGTTAAACAAGGCGTATGTATTTTATTGTGGAAATAGTAAAAGTTGATGATTGCTTATTCGTTGTTATCGCTGAAATGGCTTCTATGTGTTCTTGAAAATGACACAATTAAATGGACGTTTAGTCAGATGTCTTGCTACTCAGTAATTCCTGATGCCCTATGAAGCACCCATAGTTAAAGAACTCAGGGCTCACAGTTTCTGACACAATAAATGCAACATCCATGTCAGACCATATTTTATACATGTATGAACATGTGTTTCAAGTAAAAAAAAAAAAAAAAAACCACGTAGTTGGAGAAATAAGTTGCATTGATTACAACTGATAATTTGTATATATTCATCCCTCATCGTGTGATTTTGCAGAGCTCATAATTCACATTATTATCTGTATCAGATCTATAAACATAGGACTGCTTAAAACATTTATGTACAAAGTTGAGTGTTTGTGTGTATATGTTCTGCTTCAGGGCCTGGTTGTTCATCTATAGCATATGGGGCATCAGAGGAAATTGGTCCATTCCGGATAAGCAAAACTGGTTCTTCTCTATATCTTAACAAAGATGCATGGAATAGAGGTAACAATGGCTATCATTCAAGTAACTGACTTTAACTTTATTGTAACCATAATCTTTCAGAATAACAATATCTAAAAAGACAATGTCACTGGTCTTCAGAAGCAAATGTCCTCTTTCTTGAATCTCCTGCTGGTGTTGGTTTCTCCTACACAAATACAAGCTCGGACCTCAAGACTACTGGGGACGAAAGGACAGGTATGAATTTGATGCTCATCGCTATCATCACCATTTTTTTGGGGACAAGAACCCTATTTTGGAGCTGGAAGCCTGGAAGGGGATATTATTTTCAACTTGATGCTATAGAGATATTTTGTTTCACTTTACAATCTTTCAAGATTTAAAAGTTATCTGAAATTCAAATGAAACTACACTCTCAAATATTAAAGTGATACAAAAGACGTATGAGTATTGAATCAATAGAGCTTTTCGCTTCTTATATTTAGTGGTGGCAAGTATGTTGGTGATTAATTTGAGAACTCCAACTTCGTAATACAGCTCAAGATGCTCTGATTTTTCTAATTAGATGGAGGTCAAGGTTTCCACACTATAAATACAGAGAGTTCTACATCGCTGGAGAGAGCTATGCAGGTAGATGAACGCCACCACCAGCAACTTACTGTTTTTCAAAAAATCATACAAATAAAAGTTAATATTTCCATTCATCTTCTGTTCAGGGCATTACATTCCCCAGTTGGCTAAGAAAATCTATGATTATAATAAAGCAAAGCCCCAGATCATTAATCTAAAAGGGTTCATTGTAAGTCAATTACCATGAAACCAATATCTTCATTCTATTCTACCACCCAAAATTATATTCTGTTAGTAATAATATGCATGCAACTCTAATAATTCAGGTAGGAAATGCTTTGACTGATGACTACTATGATGGGGTTGGAACTATCACATATTGGTGGAGCCATGCTTTGATATCTGATCTCTCATACCAATCAATCCTCAAATACTGCAACTTCACATCAGAAAAAGCTTCCAAAAAATGTGACGATGCAGTGAGTTATGCGGTTAACCATGAATTTGGAAACATTGATACATACAGTATTTATACCCCTCCATGCCGAACATGGCATAACAATACCTTAAGGTATATACGGTTCAAGAGTACAATCTTACATAGGATTTCAGGGTATGATCCATGTACGGAAGATCATGCAGAGAAATATTATAACCGTCCTGAAGTGCAGAAAGCAATGCATGCGAATGTGACAAACATCCCTTACAAATGGACTGCTTGCAGGTTTCATCCTGACTTAGCAAGAAAAATAAATCAAAATTCTTCTGTCTAAATTTTCTAAACAAGAATTTTAACATGCATCTTTGTCGGTTGTACAGCAAGGTGCTCATAGAAAACTGGATGGATTCTCCAGTTTCTGTATTGCCAATATACAGAGAGTTGATTGCGGCTGGTTTAAGAATATGGGTTTTCAGGTATAGTTTCACTCGTTAATGTTATCGCATGAAATAACTTCAGGTAATTGGTCGTAAGTTTCGACCACGTGTGACCTATGTATGACATGACTATTTGACCCACCTGTAGAATTGCCAGTAGAGAGCCTTCAGGATTAAGAGAGATCTCCACTTTTGCAAACTTTCTTTAGGTGATTAACATAATTCAATTACACACATACATATTAGGATCCATAACAATCCCCAAATCTTGTTTGCAAGTGGTAACATGACAATAAGCTCATTATAATTGACATTACTTAAATTGAATGATTATGGAGAATATTAGATGGATTTGGTCTATTAAAGAAATGAAAATTGAAGCAGTCACAAATATACGCATACATGTGAGGGGTGAACCCCTTTGAAACTGCGCCTGAAATGTTGCCAATCCATTCATAATTAATGTTGTCTATGTATGTTTAGTGGACAAGGTTTACTCTCGAGTTTCTCTGATCAGAGTCATTACCTTTGTTCTAATGCAGCGGGGACACAGATTCAGTGGTTCCAGTAACAGCCACTAGGTTTTCCCTCAACCATCTCAACCTCACCGTTAAAACTCGTTGGTATCCATGGTACTCAGGTGGACAGGTATATCACCAAGCCTCTAACACATTAAATGAAGTCAAGAAATGAAATAATATTTTGATCTTTTGCATCAGTTTTAATATTTTAAAAATATGTGAATGTCATTCAAGGGCAGCCTAGATAATAGAGGTGAAATATGGTGTAGATGGAAATCAAGATAAGAACCACATCATACTAAAAGTTACAAAGTAATAAATATTTAAATCAGTCAAAAGATTGATGTTACCAAAAGGTAGTTAAGTCGAGTAAAAACTACTTTAAGTTTTCATAAAATAAAATATCAAAGTCAAGCTATGTTGAATTTTTATTTTTTATTTTTCAAATCTTGGTAGCAGAACTGCTTTCCTCTAAGGTTCGACAATGTTGAAACACGACGATAGTATCAAATGTTGGCTATCGTTAAGAAAACATCGGTATTAAAATTTGACTCACTCAGAAGGAAACTCAATCCTCCCATAATTGGACTTAGAAGCTTTTAATGCTCAAATTATAAAATATTTTGTAGCGGATTAATCTGATAGAAACTAGAAAGCACGCTTTAGCTTTGCAAATACTAAAAATGAAAGTTTATGAATATCTCCGCCTTGTTTTCCCCCTTGTTAATGGCTCCTATTCTATTTCTCCTGTGGTGTTGTAGGTGGGCGGATGGACAGAGGTGTATGAAGGGCTAACCTTTGCCACTGTGAGAGAAGCTGGACATGAAGTACCCTTATTTCAGCCCAGGCGAGCACTCACACTCTTCAAATCTTTCTTGGCAGGCAAGGAGCTACCAAGATCTTAAAAGTTCAAAATGTTACTAGTGAAAAAGTAAATATCATCAGTTATAGTACAAGCAATTGCATTTGGTCCCATGCAAACAATGGGTAGAGCAGCCTTAATAAGAAATTAGCAACAATTCATTCAAGCTGTAGTTTGTGGTTTGTAAACGCCATTGAATTCACTTATTGCCCCCAATAGTAAACGGGCAAGCTTCATGTTCAGACAAGAAATTCATTGAATGTTGAGATAATGTTTGTTCCCAAAAAAAAAAAAAAAAAGTCTTGATATATAAAATGTTGAGGAAAATGAATTTTAAAATTCTTACCCCTTTATCTAGAATGGAATCTACCCATGTAGCAGTAGAAAGGCTAATGAAATCAATTTTCAAGGTCATGAAGACACCATATGAGCAAACAAGTAATCAATAACAGCACCAATTTTTTCCCCATTTACAAAGAACACCTAATATCATATACTAGATTCTAATTCCAGCGTCCTCATTTTCATGACTTCCAACTAGGCAAGAAACAATCTCAACGTTGGTCCGGTTTTCCTTTCTTTATGACAAGACTATATAGAGAATAACAGGACTCAAGATTTCCATTCAACAAAAAATGGAGCGGGGACAAAGCATTTGCTTTTCTTTTCTCACACAATTTGGAAGGATTTCAGGCCTACATTACTGAATAAGCAAGATTGAAACTCCATGGTAATAGTATGTCAAGAAATAAGCATTCTTGCCATGTGTTGTAAGCAAAATTGAAACTCGATCCCATACTCCAAAATATATATTTATCTCACTTAAAACCTTCACCAAGACCTGGTGGCATTCCTAAGCTCTGTGCAAGATCGTTCATTCTTTCCTTCATGGCCTGGAAACATAAGCAAGACTGAGTTTTTCAATTCACTGACCAAAGATGCAACCAGATTTTCAATTTCTCTTAATATAAATAGTCTTACCTGGACACTCTTCTGATGGGCATCCTTGTATGCCTCAGTGATTAGAAGTGAAAGTTTCTGCGACCAAAAGATGGCTAACATCAATAGTAGTTTACTTTGGCATTTAAAATCACGTTATGGATGATATAAGTAACTAAATTTAACACGTTAAATAGGAATGATCTTATATGACCATTACTACAAATTTCAGGACGTTTAATTCAACAAACAAAGCAAAAACACTGGTATTAAAGACAAAAGTGTGCAATTATGAATATGGAATCCCTGTCTAGATTCAAATTTTACGTGTCTCCCTAATAATGTCTTCCAAAAATTCATAAGATTCCACTAAATGCTTTTGGAATTCTGTTCTTCAGTCTTGACATGCAAAGAGACAAAGGAGATCTTGCAATGCTATATTACACCTTGCACTGCTAGTGCAGAAAATTCAAGAACCTAGAAACATCTATTTTAAAGTCTAATTGCGCAGTTTGATCAATGCTATATGATATGATATGACAGAGAAACCACAGATGATTACAAGTTCAAGTTTTATATTGTATACTCACTTCTGGTCCCAATTCCATGGCAGCTTCAGTAATTTCTGTTCGTACAGGTTGCTGATTCCCAGATAGTGTTACCTAAAAATTAAACTTCAATAAGGGTAAGTTAAAAAATGGAATCAAAGTTACATGATGAAATATAATGTATTAATAATGTGGTTCAAGACATCATGATGATGATTTTTCCCCCTTTCTGGCCTGATGATGAAAAAAGCTAAACAATAAACAGATGCAGACAAATATTCTCTCTCATGGAAAAACACTCTGTATTTCAACCAACGACAAAAAAACATAAGAACTATATATAAATATATAGAGATTCCTTCTTTTAAGTTAAATAGGGAAAACTGTGGCAGTATAGGAGGGAAACTCAAAAAAAAGGTTAAGAAGTAAGAACCACTCCTTTATGGCCATAATGTAAGAACTGCTTAAATATAAGTTAGTTTCATACATATATATAAATTTGAATAAATTTCAAATAATTCTTAGTAGGTCCATAATATAATTTTTAACTAGTTTAATATCATCTATAGTTTGGCATAAAGCAATCAGTTAAAACAAGTATATAGAAGATGTTATCACAAAGCACAAGGTAGAGAGAAGGAGAAAGCCAGCAAGCACACATCATACCTTTATTAACTCACCCTCACAATAACCATCAAACTCTGCTCTGCATAACAAAATAAAATGCAGATAACTTCATTGCCAATGTACCTTTACTGCAGACAAAAAAGGAAAGCTACAATGATTTTAAAGGAAAGTCATACGCAGCAAGTTCTTTTTGCACACGCACAGCTTCAACTTGGACAACCATTTGTGCCTTCTTCACAGTTTCATAAAGATTTTGCATGTTTCCAAGAATTCCAGCCTAAGATTAATCAGATGTGAAGAGAATTTTAGTCAATTATTAATAATAGGCTCAATCACATCAGAATTAGATTGAAAAACATACACAACATACCAACCAGGAAAAAAAAAAAATACCGCTCTCTCCATTGAATGAAGAGAGACATAAGGGAAGAGCAGAATAATTAATCTTAAACCTAAAATGCTACTACAACAACAACAACAAGCCTTATCTCACCAAGTGGGGTTAGTTATATGAATTGTACGACGCCATTATGCTCTATCAATGACCAAGACTTGGGGGTATTTTGTTAACAACTTCCTTGGACGTTCCCTTCGGTCTTCCTTTGTCTTTTTTTACAAGGCTCGAGACTACATGTCCCATTATCCTCATTAGTGACTCCCATGGTCTTCTTCATACATATCCGAATCATCTCAATCAATTTTCTATCATCTTTTCTTAAATAGATGCCACGCTTACTTTTTCTTGCATATACTCATTAAAAATTTTACCTTTTCGTGCATCCCACACATCCATCTCAACATCCTCATCATTGCTACTCCAACTTTATATTCTTGTTGTCCTTTTAAAGCCCAATATTCATTGTCATATAACATGGCTGGTCTTATAGTAGAGGGATAAAGATGATGGCTAAGTGAGAATATTAGAAAGTTACTTGGGCATCTTGTTGGGTATATGATTATGAAGTCATTCAATGAACATCAAAGCATCTATCTTTTTCTTAACGATTTCTTGAAGTAAAAGATAAAATGTTGTCTAGTCCCTCAAACTAAAACCTAGTGTGATGATCTTATATGCAATCAGGTACAATCAAACAAGTCTCAAACTCAAGCCTTTTCCCAATTATGAATACAATTTCTTCTTTCTCGCATTGGTCTTTTGGTTATAGTTGCAGGTTTTTCAGGTAAAATATAGAACACGATTTCCATGTATCAACTTTTTTGGCTACATAACCAGAACATGAGATATAATGAATTGGAATGTAGTTTTGTGCGCTAAGAATGTATATATTCTAAAAAGAAAACTTTACCATAGTTATCACATATGGAGATCTGAAGATTAAAATACAATGATTGCAATACATGCCTTCATTTGTAATGAATACCCTAGCTGCGAAATTGAATTCCCCCAAAATAAGACAAGAAACACAAACACAGGGAATCATAACCTAAGTGTTAACCAACTCTAACCTAGAGCATGCTTGGATTAGTTTCTAAGTTAAGTTAGAACAGACAAAACTGAGGTTAGAACATAAAAAGCTCAAAAAATATTGTTTGGATGAGCAAAAAATTCCAACTAAAGTTAGGGTGTAAATGAGCATTTTTCCCAAGCTATGATACATAGCTTCTCCATTTACGTTGCCATTCAATGCTTTCTCTCACTTCTCATCTACTAACTTGAGCTCCTGCTTTGCTTCATTGATTATTTTCTATTCATTTACTATTTTTTTTTCTGTTCATTCATCTATCCACCCGAGCTCCAGCGTTAAATGCCAAAAAGTATAAAACATTAACACTTATTTTTATTTTCTGTTCATTTATTATTTAGATTTTCCATCATGTCATTTTCCCTCAACTTTATAGATTTATTTTATTTAAATTTAAGTTGTACAAAACTAGAGTGGATTTTTTTTTTTCAAAAAAGTCTTGCTTTCAATGAATATATATATATATATATATATAAAATAATAACTACTTGTGTATATATAACATAAAACTGAAATTGTATAAAACTTGATTTTTAAGTTTAATATTTTTTACTTATTAATTAGTCAAAGACTATATATAAAAAAATTCATGTTTACTTTTGCTATTAAATATTTTAACTGACTTTTGAATCAAATTATCCAAACGAATTTTAATTTATCTAACTGACTTTTAAAAAAAAGATATTCAAAAATAAATTACGTTACATTAACTGACTTTTTTTCTAACCTCAGTTTGTTAATTTTAGTTGAATTCTAACCTCAGCTGTAAATTTTTTAATCCAAACACACACCTAACCATTATGATGTCAGGTGGGGAAATGGCGATCAAAATACAGTCTCTAGATAGGTTTTGTATATCTGTCTTCCTAAGAAACTTTCCAACATCATAGAAGTTGTCACAAAGAATGAGAAATAATTTATCTATGAATCCCTTGCTCTTTAGAAAGAAAATTATTCTCAAATCATGAATATTCTGCCAATCCTGTTAACTTGGCTAACCTTGGATGGCGCGTCATCACTTTTTTCATTATTGTCTTTCTTTCCACCAAATAGTCCATACACCCGGAGACATCTATGCTGCTCATGCCCAACTTTTCGACGATCAGGCCGAGATACTATCTTCATATCAACAAAATTTGCACTGGAATTCAAGTTACCTGAACAATAACGAATGATGATTAACTTTGGGAATATGACAAGAATATAAAACCGAAAAATTAAAAGCAAGCATGTAACATGCTTTAGCCTTACATAACCTATTTCTTGATAGCTTCTTGTGATGCTTATGTTCTCGACTAAAGGGAATGCAGATTATAATATTAACTATATATTCCAACAGAAAGGTCAAAATGTTTTTTTTTTTAACCATAATGCTTGTATCATTATTTACAAAATAACTCTGAGTCAATTGAGAGTCGTCAGCATCAGGAATCTGATGGCTTGCATCAAGAATTAATTTAAAAACACCAAATAAATGAACTATAGAGAAAAGAGTGTGCACTGCACCCATTGTACTCCAGCGCATTCAAATCAATACAAACAAGATAAAGAAGGAAAGAAAGACATTAAACTAAGAAACACCCTCTACACTAATGTTGGGGACTGATACCGCAGACCTAAAACCCAAGCATTTTTCATTTCATAGTTTTTCACCCACCAAGAAGCATGTGCCCACGCAACATCTTGAAGAAAAAAGATCCCAACTTTTCCAAAACAACGACCAGCTGAGAATATATGGAGAGGATGACTTACAGAGCGAAGCAGATAAAGGGCAGAGCTTTTTCCAGTCATTTTTGGCATGCGGGCTAGAGAGCTGACCAGTTAGAGAAACCGTGGACGCCATTGGCTTCCACTAGCAAAAGAGAAATTCTTAGAGTTTGGGTTCGAACTTCGAAGAAAGAAGAAATTAACTTGGGGGATTTTGAAAGAGAATTCAGAATGGGATAAACAGGATTTTTTTTCTGCCTTCATACCTATGTGGTATTGTACTGTATCGGATTGGGAGGTGGGTCGCGAGTCTGGATTATTGTCACTACGGTTTCAGGTTATTTTGTGGACGGACCAATTATAGAAGACCATGTCATACTTTTGGACTGGGGTGGCTTTACTCTTTTCTGGACTGGGCCGACGTAGGGCCTTAATATTATACTATAAACCTTTTTTTAATTTGATTATTAAAAATTATTTGATATTAAAAAATAATAATTTGATTCGATTAATAAAATATCGAGTTTGCTCGAATTGAGTTCTTTAAAATTTTGATTTTTTAATTTGATTACTTAATCCCAATAAAAATATTTCCTCTGAAATAATCGTTTGGAAGCTCGTTAATGCATTGAAATTTGATTTTTTTCCGTAAAATAATATGATTGTAAAGCTATTTAGATCGTATCTTTAATAAGAAAATAATATTAAAAATATTAATCATCATTATTAATTAGCCTTAAAAAATTATTTTTTAAATTTTTAAAATAAATATATTTTTTAGAATATAGTATAATATTCAGGTGTCAATTTAATAATTTTTTTTTCAGATTTGTTAAAAAGAAAAATAATATTATTTGGTGTATATAGTTTTGATTTTGTAACTAATCAATCCTTCAAATTTTAGTCATTTAATCCATGGATCTCAATATTTTATGACTAAATTATAACTCTCTTTTTTTGTTGCTAAGGTATTCTCATAGTCGGCAATCATGAAATTAATCTTTTAAAAAATTTGAGTACTATTTAAGGAATTATTCTCTTCCAAATAATGTTTTTCCATACATACCTTCAAGTATCAAACCCTGAATAATGTTTAAGGAACTCAGATCGCTACTATCCATATTACATTTACTTGGTAAATTATAACTCAATCCTTAAATAATTATATAAATTTTTTGAAAATGTAAAAACTAATTATTAGAAATTTTGAGGGATAGAATTGTACGTGTCAAATTTTAGAAACTGAGCATTTGGTTGTCTAAAACAAAATGAAATTGAATATGCACTATTTTTCATTTTCACTTTTCTATCACTTCATATTTCATAGTTTTTTTCTCTCTTTCATTTTCATCCCTCTACGTTAATTCAGATCATATTTTAATTTATTTTATTCTCTCTCAACTCATTACATTCTATTCTAAAAACCAAATGGGCATTAATTATTATTAAATTGATCATTTAATCTCAATTATTTTTCTGTAGCCTCAGTCTCTCTAGCTTAAAAAGGGCTGCAAAAGCCAAAGCCCAAGAGGTGTCAGCATTCTTTCTTTCTCTATCACTTGTTTGCTTTTGTTGCTTAATAGCCCTGTTCCCTTGTTCTGTTCGCTCCTCTGTAATTTCAGGAGCTCTGCTTTCTATTCTTACTTACCACCGTGAGCGGGCCCCTACCTCTGCTGCCCCAAAAAGCATCCATCGATCTGGTTATCTGGTACCTATTTAATGAAATTCATTCATGGCAAAAGCATATAGCATCATCTCCAAAAATATGTGGCAATGAAAAAAAAAAAAAAGACAGGCAGATTCAATGTAGGTGTGATGGTGGAATCTTTCACTCTCCCATTCAGGAAGATGATGCGGCAAACATCAAACATTAAATATGAGATAGTGATTCTCAAGACAAGCCAATAAGTGTACAGGGCAGATTTCTAGGATCATTTCCAATGGAAAGATGATGGAGGTAGGCCGAATAGGAATGCTTTGTTTATTTTCCTTCTTTCCTTTTCATCATGAAAAAGATTATTGGGTTTCCTCCAGCACCCACCCAAAGGCATTTGCGTGAAAACTGAGAGGCGCAGCAATGAGAATGGAATCATCTTTAACGAGAGGGGCAAACAGCAGCGTAAAAATCCAACTCAGCCCCTTAAAATAAGGTGAGACCGACAATTAATGTCAAGTGTTACAGAAAGCAAGAAAAACTGTTCGTCCCATTTACCTGCTCCCTGCTTTTTTATTTTCCTGCCCCTATCTTCCTCTCTCTCTATCCAGAAATATGGAAATTACACGCATTCTTCCGCGAGCTACTACGTCTACTACTATCCCAAGTTCCACTCCTCTCATTTTTCTGTCTCTCTTTCTCTCTCATGAATGGCCCAGCTGGACTAAGATTTATGTGGAAGAAAAAGAAAAAAAAATGAAAGAATGGGAAAGAAATGAAAGAGAAGTTTGGGCGTGTCTTCAAGTCTCTTCCAACCATAGCCACCTTACATTACGATCTCTCTCTCTCATAGGGGTCATGTTGCTGTTACCCGAAATACCCTTTCTGCAAGCCCCCAAAAAATCCCATCTTCATCACGGTCCTTCAAAAGAACAACATTTTCTACAGAGTTATGAGGGCCTTTTATGTCTCTCTTTGTCGTGGTCAGAGTTTCACAGAGAAACCAGGAAAGCCAGAACCTCTTCTTTCTTTTCTCTCTTCTGCCTATTTCTATCTATGCTTTTCCCCCATAGCTGTTCGTCCTAGGGTTTGGGGTTGTGGGTTGCTCTGATATTCGCTGATCTGATGAAGAAGATGAAAAAGATTGTTTCTTTCGAATCTCCTTATGCTGTCTGTAACGATCAGAGGAGTAAGTATAGGCATCAAAGCCTCTTGCAGGACTATGAAGAGTTGCAGAAGGTAATACTTCATTTAGTTTCTGAAGATTCATGATTCGTATTATGGGTTTAATTAGATCTGCTATTCTTTATTACTTTGTCTACTTTACCTCTATGCTATTTGTTGTTGTCATGTTGATAAAACGACATCCATACGTTTCAATCTGCTTAGTTAACAATTTGTTTGTTAGGGCGGGTAAAAGCTGTTAAATTTACAAACGAGAATTTTGATCTGCTGGGTTTCTTTTTCCTTTTACCATAGGGATGATTTGGTTTGATCTCTTATGTTTTTAGAATTTCTTACTTGCTGTTAAGCTCCCTAATAAATAAGAGGTTTTTATTCCACAGTTGTGACTTTATGTTTGAGATTTCAAGCTAATTAGTTTTTTTTATGTTTCTTATTAGGGCTTTTTCCCCCTGAATCTTATATTTATCCAGTCTGTATTAGAACTTCTGCTTTGGACTAGTTTTGCTAAGAAAACATGTTTTAACAAAATAGTATCTTGAATTTTGTTTGGTGTGTGAATCTTATTCCTCAGGTGTCTGGAATATTAATGTGTCTACTTTATAAAAAAATGATTATGTATATTAAATATAATCAGTATTGGTATGTTCTTTAGAACATGCAAATTTGAAATCTGAAATATATCATAGTAGGTTACTAGTTAGTTATGGGGTAATTAAAATCCATATACCAAAGATCATCATTGTTTGTTTTGCTGTACTTGTGTTGCTAGTTCAGTAATGCAGTTTTATGCGCAAACACTATATCAGGCTCACTATCCGTGAGTTGGAAAAATTTTACTCATGATATTAAACATGTTCAGGAGATGGAAATCATGAGAAGGAAATTGCAAATGTTGAAGCAAAAAAAGCTGATGCTGTCAACAGAAGTTCGGTATAGTCTTGGCTTCAGAGTTATTAGTTTTGCTTATCGATAATAATTTTTAATTCCCGTACAGTTTGGTTACTCCTCTTGACTATTTTTCTTGCAACTGCAGATTTTGTAGGCAACGATGCAGATACCTAACGAGAAATCCTTCTTCCAAGCTCCAACTAAAGCAAGATGTTTCCCTGCTGCAAAATGCTAAAATCCAAGCTTCCATTGTCTCTAAGAACAGAAAGTTCAGTAGAAAAGAGTCCAGCTTGCACCACCGTATCGCATCTCGTTCATCAGCAGAAGAAAGGATTTCTAATGGGGCAGAGGGTAAATCACAAAAATCAGCACATATGTTCGATTTAAACCGGAATGCTAGGAATTCTACCAGAAAAGACACTGTTTTTCTCAATTCTGCTGTTCAACTGTTTGACTTGAATCAAAATGATGGGATTTACGGTGGGAAGGAAGTAACAAAGAAGAGTATAACCCTGTTTGACTTGAACCAGATATCGGTAATAATTAATTGTAGAGTGATTTATTTGCATCTGTGAGTCCTTGTTCGTTATGATTGTTGCTGGCTTATATCTTGATCTGTAATGATGAAATGCAGATAGAGGAGGAGGAGTTGGTGGGTGACATTGGGCACATGAAAGGTGAGGAACGTAAGAGAAGTACACAGAAAGGCGCAAGCGATGAGCAGCACAGTGATATCAAGTTATCAGGTTGTAGAAACATGGGAAATGGATCAAATAGGACAGGGAAGAGGAAGATTTCATGGCAAGATCAGGTGGCATTAAGGGTTTGATCATGGTATAGTAGGCAGAATCTCCTGCTCTTTTGGAATGTTATAGACTTACAGTTAGACAGGGTAGATTTTCTAAGCTCTGATAGTTTTATGTTCTTGTGTAAAGTATATAAGGTACTTTTATGCATATACATATAGAGATGAAATGGGGAAATTCTGCTCTTGACAGTAATATCTCTCTTCACTGTTTGTTTAGTCTTTATTGATACTATGCCCAATGTACACCGACGTAGAATTATGATTATTCCATTCGTCTTTTGGCCAAATTTGAAGACTGGCTTTGTGTCTATGTTGTCTGATCATCCATGAGCTTTATTAGCAGCTCTGGCCAGTATATATTTCCTTACTGAAATACACAGCAAACAGCAAAAGCAAATAAAATTAAGTGAAATCACTTTTCTGCTACAAGTTTTGATTTTCCAGCCACTGATGCTTTGGGGAGGGATTCACTTTTCTGAGACTCCTTAAGCCCCGGTAGCTTGAAATTATAGAGAAAGAAATGGAATTGGACATGAAATTTATTAACATGCTTGTATGGTATGCAATAATTATGATTCTTTGGAATTTGAATTCAAGAAAATTTGGCATAATTCAATTTCATCATATGTATCATGAAATTTAATTTCATGGTTTCCTTTTTCCAGTTTGCCCCTTCTCCCTCCTCTAATAAATCTTTTTTAAATTTTAAAAAGGACACTTTAGGTCCCGTTTGGTAGTTTGGAATTATGGAGAAAGAAATGGAATTGAACATGGAATCTGTTAACATGTGTGTTTGGTATGTAATAATTATGATTCTTTGGAATCAGGATTCAAGAAAATTTGGCAAAATTTAATTCCATCACATGCATCATGAATCCAATTTCATGGTTCTCTTTCTCCAGTTTGCCCCTTCTCTCTTCTTCAATATATTTTTTTTAATTTTAAAAAGAACACTTTAGTCTTTTCTTATTTTAGGTACTTATATTTTATTAAAATTATGTCAGGATTTCATCATCATACCAAACACATTTTTAAATTTAATTTTATTTCAATTTTAATTCTTATTTTGATTCTGATTTCAATTTCGATTCCATTAAAAACTCTTCCATCATACCAAACATGACCTTAGTCTTTTCTTATTTTAAGTACTTATATTTTATTAAAATTATATCAGGATTTCATCATCATATCAAACACATTTTTAAATCTAATTCTATTTCAATTCCAATTTTTATTTTGATTCTGATTCTGATTTCATTAAAAACTCTTTCATCGTACCAAACATAGCCTTAAGAGGTTCTTGGATCTATTTGCATTGAAATAGGCAGAGAAAATCGGCTCCGTGACCAGAACATGCTTCTTAAAATTGGCGTTGAAGGCGACGGCAACTATTTTGAGATTCTGAAACACTAATTGTAGGAACAGTTAGGAAATCAGGTAATAGGACCATACTCTCACTCTGCTGTTCAACACGTGATTCTGGTGATTCGTGGATTGAAATCTAAAAAGCTTTGCAAATATACCTGGAAAATGCTCAAGGATGAAAGCACGTTTGGATGTTGCAATGATTTTTACGACAAAACAATGAAAAATGAGTTTTAATTATTACCAAAAAAATACTATCAAACAAAAATCTTAAAATGACATCGAACAGCTGAGAAATCACATCTGGCATGCATGTGGCCTGAATTGGCGGTGATCTAATTAGTTTGTTTTACTAACTTTCAAGCAATACTGAAATCGCGGGATCTGGTCTAATAACTGTAAATCTGTAATCATTTGACCGTCTCAATCGAAAAGTGGAAGAAAGATTCGCGAACAGGGGATTGGGGAGACGAAGAATCAGATCTAAAAATCTACGGTAATATATTTGCTTCCATATCAATGCAAGGGTTAAAACGAAATACCAGCTTGCTGTCTGAGACCCTGAGTAGTGAAAATGGTGAATAACTGTGAAATCTGCTGTGAGATACTGATAGCAGTGTTACTTCCTCCAATCGGAGTATGCTTCCGTCACGGTTGCTGCAGTGTACCTCTCTCTCTCTCTCTCTATATATATATATATATAAATGTGATTGTTCCTCTCTGGGACATGGCATCTTGATTTCAGATGTCGAGAACCAACTACGTCGTTTCTGCACTCTCTTACCTATCTATTTATTTTTCTATAACCTTTGCTGGAAATTTTGGTGTTCTGCAATGGTCATTTCTGCCATATATGATGAATCAATCATATAAGAATAGAAAGTGTGACAACTGGGTTAAATCAAAGTGTTTAAATTTAACTACAAAAAGAGCTGTTTGAGAACTAATGGCCTTGACTTTAACTGTGTCACTATTTGAAACTGAATTGGTAAATCTCCTTCAGCATCACCCCTCTGTTTCTCCACAAAATCGAAGGGGGGGGGGAGTTGTGCGTTTCTCAAAATTATATTGTTCCATTTGTTTATGTGAAATTCTTACAAATGGACTGTGACAAAATGAAGTGTATTTACACCGTTTCAGGTCGAATTTATCATCTGCTTGCTCTTGACTCTACTTGGGTACATTCCAGGAATAATATATGCCCTTTATGCCATTGTTTTTGTTGATCGTGACCAGTACTTTGATGAAGCAAGGCGTCCTCTATATGCGTAGTAGCAGCACCCCTATTAACTTCCTTTTCATAGGCTACACACTGTATTGTCATTTTTCAGATTCTCAATAATTCAATGGATGCAGCTCGACTTATACTAATGCTGATATTGCTTTGATGTTGTCATCCAGTGGTTTACTTTGAGCATGTTGAATACTGTTTATTTGGTTGGCATCATCTCGAAGTATTCAAGCCAAGTGGACTACGATTCTATCAATTATGAACCAGAAAACAGTACTTCCACTGTCAATGGTATAAACATCTCATTCACTTGATGCCAGAGATTGAAATAATATTGATGGTCCGAGGGTTGATCATATAAGCAACTCCTAGGATGAGTTCATAAGCATGCTAGAGAAGATATTCCATAGGATTACTAGTTATGTCACAGAGTTTCAAACTATTTAGATTATGCTTTTATGTAGATCTTGGAACTCCTGGGTTGCGGATGGGGTTAAGGCTATATCTCAAGTAATAATCTGTCCAGAAATTTCAGTTTGGAAAAGGGGTTTTTACGGGTTGATAACCATATTTAGGGGAAAATGACTAAAATAATACTTGTTTTGTTTGCAAATCAAAAGTTCAAACATGTCATAGCCTGATTATGTATTATCCTTTGTTATCAAACCTTTATGTATTTTCCTGGTTTGTCAAAGACCCAGAAATGTTCCAGTACTCATGCTTGGTATAATTAAGTTTCAATATATTCCTTCATATTGAATATAGTAAACGCAAAGTAATGTAAAGAGAACTCAGGCTTGAAATTAACAAGCCGTGGTTAGCTGGTGATTAGCCAATTAGACAGCAGTTAGGAAGCGTTTTACATCATTTACATTTATATCTCAACAGAGAAGAGTGATAGAGAGGGAAAAAAAAATCTGCGCCAGGTCTTTTTTGTCCATTACTCAACATTACTTCTTTATTTTCATAATTTTTTGAAGTATGAATATGAGCGTTAATTTCACCAAGGCTTTTTTTTTTTTTTTTTCCCTTTCTGTGGTGTTTCATTTCTTTCTAGTGCGCCATCCATGCCAAAGTAGGGTGGAGGAAAGGTTGTGGGGAGAGATTGAATCCTTGACATAAAGCTTGCCTCAATTTTTAAGACTAAGATAGTTCTGTAAACTATCAATTGATTGACTTTTGATGCTTGTATGGATGAGATATAATTTGTTCAAGAGGGAAAAAAGGGTAAAAATTTATATCAGAAGGATAGTTTACACCATTAGCACTCAAATTTAGTTGCAGAGCACAAGCTTAGAGCAAGGGTATAACAACTGAAAATTAGGACGGTAGCACCGTATATAATAGCTTTTCAGTTTGGAGCCTGTAGATTCTTTTATGATGAACATTCAGTGAGATTTCAATAGAAGCAGAAAGCAAGTAGCAGTCCAAAAATGAGATCCCTGAAGGCTGCCATGAACAAGGATGAGTTTTTGATTGACAAGGAGGGAGCACTGCTCCTGCGCGGATGCCTTATGTCATTTGCACCGCCATAGACTGCCTTGGCTCTCTTCATAGTTGTTCTGTGTCGGACAACATGCAATGCTGGATATCTTCTTTGATTGTCTTGTTTGCCTGATCTGTTGATCATACCATACATGACTGCATGTTTTGAAAGTTTTCAGGTGAAGTTGGCTTTTTGGTAATCAACACAAATGTTTGTTGTATTGGAATTTGATTTTCACACAAGAACTGAGAAGAGAAAAACAAGAGAATGCAGAAAGAAAAAACTTGGAAACAAGAAATCCATGAATGCTTTACCCTTAGGCTGCTTTTGTGAATGTGATTCTGCACCGAGTGAACTTCCATAAGCTGAATACATGAGAACAATGAGCGACAAAAGAAAGAAACATAAAACTGGTGTCACCCTCATGTTTGAATCTTTGTATGAATCAACTGCAATTTTGATCGGTGGTTTGTGGAGAGGCTCTTTAGTTGGTCAATATTTATAGTGAATTTAGTGGTGGTAATTTCATTTTGAGGTCTTTGAATAAGATTCCTTGCAGGGAAATGAGAGCCATTGGAATGTGCTGATTCTTTGATTGTCGGTGAGTTCTTAGTTTCAAACTTCAGTTTCTGCAAAGGAAAATGGTGGATTAATTGAGTGTACTGCCTTGTGATTATATTATGGTCATAGGCATGTACTGGCAATAAAATAACAGAAGAGATTCTTTGGTTCAGTGATTAATTATTCCTTTTCAAGCTTTTCGCATACATTAAGCAGAATAGAAATAAGATTTTGATTCTTTTTGTTGGTAAGATGTCAGGGTTACTACTAATCTGGTTTCATTGGTAGCTTCTCTCCACTAAGTGGAAGGTGCAATGCAATAGTGAACCTTTTCAATAAATTTGATGTTTTAGATTTGATATTTTTACAAAAAAAACTACAGGTTAATCTTTGTCATTATAATTTGATTTAAATGATTTAAATGCAGTGGTTAGACATGATCCGAATTCTCTGTAGATCATACTATATAATTCTTTTATAGATATTACTAGAAAGTGTATTTTTTTATCTAGATTTAAAATTTAGATATCAATCTCTTTCTCTACAACTTGGTAGATGATTTGCTTTGCCGAAAACCAAATCATAACTCAAGCTTTTTTTGAATTATGCTCTATTAGATGGTAGGATTCAAAATTTACCATTACCATAGCATTAGCAGCATGGTTGAAGAATTAATTCCCATTAATCAGATTAAAATATTGTATATTATTTATGATTTTAATTCAGTTGTCTATGAAAATTGATTTGAAAAAAGTGGGTTAAACAAGTTAAAAAACAATAAGCAGTTGACTCCAAAACTAATAAAAACGTAATCATCCAAAACTAGTTCGGATACTAAGAGTCAAGTAAGGTATGGATAAAGATAGAAGGTTCAAACTTTTTGTAACGTAACAAAGAAAAAAGTTGTCAAAAATTATGTTATTTGTTTTTTGTCTAAACTGAATGCATTTTAAGTTACAAATATTTAAAGTACTAAAATGATATAAGATTAACAATACCAACAAAACTTAATAACATACAAATTTCAAAATTATGGCAATCTAAGGAAACAATATACAAAAGAAACTGGTGTGTAAAATAGTTCTAAAGCGTAAAATGATTTGCAGCCCTAAATTCAATATTGTCACTTCTTTGCCAAACTTAGATCTATACCCATCACAACAACTGAGTATGAAGTTCAAGAAAATTAAAATTAAGGATTGAAGTTTGCCAGGGATGATAGTTCATAGAATTACTTGTCAAATTTGGGTTTCAAATTTTTCTTGTGATCAAGATTCCGTTGATTTGTTACGGTTTACGTAACTCTAGGGTTTTTGCAGAGGTTAGAGCTACATCTCAATTCTCAAGTAATAATCTGTCTAGAAAATTCAGCCAATTATGGCTAAATTAATGCCTCTTGTTTTGTTTTGTTTGCTAAACTGAGAGTTTAAACATGCCATCCCCTGATTATGTATTATCATCTCATACATGCTTGTGATAAGTTTCAATATAATCCTTCATATTGAAGTAGTTACTACAAAGCGATTTAAACAGAAGGAAATTGTTAAGAAGGACCAAATGGTAAAAAATTTTAGTTAAAAGGACCAAGGTCCTTCAAATGAACTAAGGTTGGTTGAGAAACGACTTGAAGGACCAGAAACCTTTATTCACTTAATAGACCTCGATCTTTTTAAGTAACGATTTCTTCTTTAAATAGAGGTCAGGGACTAGAATGACAAGGTTGCCTTCGCTAGTAGAAAGCCTTTGGCATCACATACATGTATGAGGGCATGAAATTTCTCCCTCTCCTCTCTCTCTCTCTCTCTACACAAAGGAGATCTCAAGGCCTGAAAGATACGAGTGGAAAGGAGAAAGAGAGAAAAGCTTTGTGTAATTTTCTCTGTGTTCTTATATTATCATTACTTAACAATAATCCATATTTTTTAGTACTTTTCTTTAAATAAGGATACAAATGTCATCCTATATCTCATCTATTCACTTCCTTCTTCTTCTCCTTCTTCTTGCCATTAAACTTGGTTCAATTTTAAAGACTAGGATTGTAACATCCCAATTTAAATTTTAATAGTTAATTTGGGTTAATAAAAATTTTGAAAAGTATTATTAAATTATTATTATAAAAAAAAGGTATGAAAAAAAAATAAAAAAATAAAAATAAAAAAAATAAATAAAAAAAATAAAAAAAATAATAATAATAAATAAAAAAATAAAATATTATTAAATTATTATTATTATAATAATAAAAAGAAAGAAAGGAAAAGAAAGGAAGAAGAAGAAGAAAACGAATTTGCTTCGTCCGCCGCCTCAACAGTAACAATAATAAAATAATAATAAAAAGAAAAGAAGAAGAAGAGAGAGAAAATAATTATAAAAAAATGTGGGACCCACTGAATTTTTATAAAAACTCACCTGTTCCTTCATTTCTTCAATTCCTTTCTTGCGCGCGAGCTGAGGCGGAGAGAAGCGAGTTGCCGGTGCAAAATATCTAAATTTTTAAGGTAAGAGTTTTTAACAGGATATTTAGGATGTGATTTTAAGCTTTTCAAGACTAAGTAAGTGTTCTAAAATTTTTCTTAGTCATCCTTCTTATTTAGTTTTTGAGTTTGTAGTGGTAGAAAATTTAAGATCTGGAAGAGGGATGAATTTATGTTGAATAAATATGATTTTTGAGGTTGTCAGTAGTATAATAAATGTTCTAGAGTATAAATTTATTGATGATCTTTGAATCTGTGGCTTATGGATCAAATTTTAAACTAGATCTGAAAATATATGTTGATTTATTGAGGTTTAGATGATTATTTGGGATGAGAAATGAATTATTATGGTTATAGGATTATGATTCTAAACTAGAGACTTAATTTTTAATTTTTGGGTATTTTAGGTACGAATTTATGAAATAAAAAGAAAATTTTGATAATAAAAATTAGTTTAGAAGTTGATTTTTAGATTATTAATGTTTATTGATAATTAAAAGAGGAGTTAAAAATTATACTTAATAGTATTAACTATAGATTTGTATTAAGATTGAGATTAGGAATTATGTTATATTTTTAATTCTATTATTAGAATTATTTTATTAGTTTCAAAAATTGAAACTAATATTTATAAATAATATGTTATTTGTAGATTGTATTACTGGTGAAGATTGTGGTGAGAGAGAAATTTTAAGGAATAATTTATTGAAAAAGCCACAAGGTAACCATGCTTTTAATTTGTGATTTGTGTTACTTCATGTTAATTGGGTGATTATTGAGAAAATTATAAATTTTGTAATATTATATAATTGTGCAATATTATTATAAATTTATTTGATTATTGTGGGAGGTGTTGGGAGATTTGCTATTATTGTTGTATTTATGTGCCACGTGGTATGCCCCTATTGGAGCTCAATAGGTGGTTTGTAAGGGCTCGAGCTAATCTACCTTTGGCCGGGTAATTTAGCACCGAGTGAGGGCTACGGCTCGAAGTTAATGGAGGGATATAAGGATGGTTGTTTGTGTGTATTGTAATATTTCATATATTTGTTGAAATTATATTATTTTTAATTCTCACTTAGTAAGCACACACTTAACTGTTTGTATACACTATCATAAATTGGCTTTGGTTACTGGGACTTTTGAGTCTCATTATGTGGTTAACAATTTTCAGGAGAAGAGCCAAGAGTGACACGTGGAGGAGTCTCAGAGGCTTAGTGGTATAGATCCACTGTCTCTTTTGGGTATTTAATTTATGATTTATAATGTGTTATATTGCCAATATTAGGACTTTTTTATGTTTATTGTCAATTATATGAATATATAAATGTAATCATGCCTTTCAAACTATTTCTATTTTTGGTACAATTTGGATGACTGTAATTTTAATATTTGGTTTACTTTGGATTGGTTAAAATGGCATGATTATAAGGCCAAATAACTGGCTTGTGTTGAAAATTGACTAAATTGCTTATTTTACTTGTTGGGAGTATAAGGATGGACAAATGTGATTTAGTTTACTTGTTGGGAGTATAAGGATGGACAAATGTGATTTAGCCTAATGGCATGTGGGAGGTAAAAATTTATCTGAAATGTTATAGTGTGTAAGTTGAAGCCAATTATAAAATATTTTATATCAAATTATTGATATAAAAATGTGTTGGGTGGCTGTAACCCAACTATGGTTGAGTTAAATTATTTTAAAAAAAAAAATTGGTGTGTTACAAGGATTAATATGTTATATGTGAGCCATCTGTTCATTGGCTCCTTACTTTTGTGGATGCGATTTGATTAGTTTACAAGAGCTACAAAAGGAAAAATTTAGTATCAAAAAGATAGATTAAACTTACAGTCCTCACATGTTAGTCGCAAAAGTACAACAGTAGAGTAATGGTATATATGTGTAAAATATTTTTTGGGAAGAATTACAAAAAATCCCAAATATGGAAATTAATTATATGCCTAAATCCTATTTACAAGTCAAACTTCAATGTTCATGTATCAAACTCTTACATTTACAAGTTAGTTTTCTTATTTAAAAACATGCATACAATTCTCTAATATTTCTTTGGTATTTGGTCCTTGAATAAAAGAAGTACAAGTAAAAATATAATATCAGCTGAGTAATAATATAAGTATATTAGACATCATATATCTAGATTTTTGTGGAGAGAGAAACAAACTCTTCTCCTTCTGATACAAGCCAAATAGATCTTTAGACTAACATGGATAGGAACTTAATAGAAGCAAACAAGAAGTAGCAATCCAAAACTGAGATGCCTGAACGCTGCCATGAACAAGGATGAGCGTCTGATTGACAAGGAATTTGCACTGCTCCGGCGACCGGCACGTGGATGTGCACCGTTGATTGCCTTGCCGCCACTGCCAGCATGTTGGACAACATGCAATAATCCTTGATGTCTTCTTTGATTCTCTACTTTGCTCCACCCATTGATCCTACCATGCATCACTGCATGTTGTGAAACTTGTTAATTAATTAGATAAAGATTATAATAAACCTACTCATGAGTCATGAATCTCCATTTTGAAGCTTGTGTTTGATAGTTGGGGGAGAAGAAAATGAGGGAGTGAGAGATCATGGATTGAATTAATCCTATGAAGTGTGGGAATTCCTAAGTTTTTTAAAATGAAGAGAGAAAGAGATACAGAATAGTGGACCTTACTTTTGACACTTGAATCTTCCAAAAATAAGATTCACTGTAATATATCTATCATTCTCTTGATTTTCAATAAAGTCATTTAAAAGGTCCAATTTACAAGAGAAGAAAATTAGAACACGGATCTTGTGTAGGGAAGGAAGAAAAATTGAAAAGGTGATGATTAAGTGAAAGTTTCTCTTTTACAGCTTAGTTGGAAAAATTCAATTTTCCCTTCATAGTATGGAAGAACTTCAAAATATAAGGAAATGACTTTCCCCTTCCTTTTCTTCATGACTCAGAAAGAAAGTATTTTTCTTCCCTTTGAGTTCTCCGGTGAAGACTTGTGAAGTCCTTTAAGCAAGGGATTAATCAACAGAAATATTTCTTCACTTGGAATTTGATTTTCATACAAAAAACAAGAAAAGCAGAAAAATAGAGTAAAAAAAGCGAAGAAAAACAAAAAAGAATCCACATATGCTTTACCCTTAGACTGGTTTTGTGAACTTGCTTCTGCAGTGCCTTTGCTTCCATAAGCTGAGTGCATGAGAACCATGAACAACAAAAGAATGAAACATAAAACTGGTGTCCCTCTCATACTTGAACCTTGTTTGAATTAACCAGAAAGTTGTTAGTTGTTTTGGAGGAGGCACTTTGGTTGGTAAATATATGAGCGCATTTATATATATACTTCATCAAAATGGAAAAGAAAAAAGAAAAGAAAAGCATGACACAGTTTTGAAATCATTGAATAAGATTCCTTGCAAGAAATAGAGAGCCATTATAATATGCTAATTCTTTGATTGTCTGTGAGTTTCATGTTATCTTAGTATCAACGCAGAGTTAGTGTAAGGGACAAGATTATGAACCAAGTTCAGTGCCTTGTGAATATTATTTTGTGCTGATGAGCTAAGGATTGGAAATGAAGTAAAGGAATAAAGAGACTCTTTGGTTCATCCATCATTTATCTTTTATCTTTTTTTATTCTTTATAAGCATCCTCATATTGAAGGCAATCACATTCAAGGTACGATTAGGCTTTAAATATAGACACTCTTTTAATGAGAATTTTAACATTGATTTATTACGTTGTAAGAAAATAGCTCTTTCCATTAGATTCAACCCCGTTAATTTTATCCTTTTTCTATTACTCAAAAGAGTTCAAATCCTTTATATCTCTATTCACTTCCCACCCCATTTTTATCATCTAAACAAGATTGTGATTCCTTGCGTTGATGAGTTTTTATGGTCAGCTCAGGCTATTTATGCCCTATTAAAATGGTAGGTTTCAAAATATACCGTGCCCTTTACAATCACGATTGAAAAAAAATATGTTCTTAGAAATTAAAAATAATAATCATTTAATTCTATAATTTTGAATAATCTATAACTCAATTTTAAAGTTTAATTTGATATAACTTAATTTTTTTAACATTTTAATCCACTAGTCTTTTCACTTTATAACTCATTCCCTAAATGATTATATAATTTTAAAAAATATAGGAACCAAATTAACTAAAATTTAAGAAATTGAGTTGAAAAAGTTAAACTTTTTTAATCAAGACAATACTATAATTTTGGCCCAAAAAAAAGCCAATACTATAATAATTAAATGATTATTTTTTTTCTAGAAGTGGTGATCAAGTCTTTTACAAGCGATTAAAAAATGTTAACTCACATAAATTTCTGATAGGCTAAGAAATAAATTCAGCTTGCTATAATTGATAGTGATTGCAAGAACGATCTAAGAAAATTTTGACACTTAGCACAGTAGAATATTTTCCTGGAAAAATATTTGATTATTGAATGTAGAAAAAGTTCGGTAGGGAGAAAGAAGAATCCATAGAATAGGATATACAATGTGGATGTCAATTCGCGTTGGTTGATTAAAAACCTTTTATTTGAACCTTTTTTGTTTTTCGGCCAAAAAAAATCTTTTTTGTTTTATTTTTATGTAATTTTTAGTTTCTTCATCGAATAATAATTTTTCTTCTTGTTCATCAGTCTTATGTATACAGAAAAAAAATCTCCAGATGTTGATTAAAAGGTTCTTTGTACACATTATGAGTCATCCAAACGAGATTTATACCATCAAGTATCTAGATCTTACTATTATGTTTTAATATTTTTCCATTAAAAGATTCAGAAAATTAAAAATTATATAAAAAATCTAGAAAATTACAAATAAACACCATATAAAAAATTTATAATTTTTTAATGTCTTTTTTATACTTTTTTTCTGGTACATTAGCCATCAAAGTTAACATTTAGTAAAAATAAAAATGATAATTTTAAATGTTAAAAAAATATTATACCAAAAATAAATTCAAAATCTTAAACGTTCCTAGACGCTATAATTTAAAAGCAAAATTATCATTTAACTCAAAAAATAATCCTAATTGAATAATCTCTTGTAGAGATTAAAATTTTTTTGAAGATAATCAATTCATACTTCTCAAATTTCACATGTTTGACTGACAATCTTGAAATACTTGTATTCTTCGACAACAAGACTATAATGGGATTTTGAGAGATTTTGCGACTTCAGTATTTCTTATCTTTCATGTTATTATTTGATTTGACACGTGTATTGGTTGGCCTTGCTTGATTCCCTCACGTAAAAAGGATTAAAAAAAGAATAAAAATAAATCACACTTTGTTTGATTCCCCAGTCAGTCACAATCAACGTAAGATTCAAGCTACAAAGGCAAAACTCGAAAGCCAATAGCATCTTTGGGCTAAAAAAAAGAGTAGGAGCATCTTCCTCTCCAGAGGGATCGATTAAGAGAAAGTTCTACGGAATTTATCAGTACATTGTGCAATAAAAAAAAACTAAATAAATCAACAGTTATCCAAACAAGTGTTATCCCTAATAGAATCTGATTCTTACATTGATCATGTCAGTGGACTATGCACATCACCAAGGGTTCATGCATCATGCTATTTATCCATAGGAAAGCCTTGCATCAAGATGATACCTACAAGTTTCACCAGGTATAGTATTTACTATTTAGTTGTAAAGAATAAGACAAAAGTGTATTTTTGCTCTTGAATTATTTTTCAAGGAACATCTAACATCCTAACATTTTTATTAGAACAATTTTGTCTTTAAAATTATTAAAACGAAACATTTTTGTCCTTTCCGTCAAATTTTGTAACAGTCTACGTTTGATATTAATATTGAAATTTTGACGGAAAGGGCAAAATGCTCCGTTTTAATAATTTTAAGAATAAAATTGTTCCAACAAAAACATTAGAGTGCTGAGTGCTCCTCAAAAAATATTTTAAATACAAAAACGCACCTTAATCCAAAAGAATATATGGTCAAACTAAAGTAGGTGTGTATCTATACATGTGGATTAAAAAGGAATAAATCTCTTTGAAAGATCCCCTCATACAAAAGGCGATGCATAAAGAAGAAAAGTAAGGCCTACGTAAATGTTATCAAGTATCATATCTCTTTCTTCCTCCAACCATTTCTGTTTTTTCCCCCCTACTGAGAATCTTTCTTACACCAGATCTCACACTCTAACCTCTTTTTCAGAACAAGGCTAACCATTATCATTTGATTATTATTATTATTATTGGGGAAAAAAGTCCACCTAAAATAGCAATTCCATCCCCACTTCCCAGTAATCCAATCTACCTCGTCAGATGCAATATCAGAGATAACAAACTTGATTAAATGATCAATGGTGAGTACGAGAAAATTAAAAAAAAAAAAAAAAAAGGTGTTGTATGTGATAGCAGCAAACCCTTCTACTAACCCACATGAACAGGAGAGAAAAAAGATCCAGCAAGTTGCATATTTAACCGAGCAGGGCATTGAAGATATCTGGTTTTAAGTTCTGCAGATATGAGACCTGACCCACTTGTTTTGCCAATTCACCTGTGACTCGGTCCATGCAGAGAACATACAGCCCGTTTCTGCTTTCCAGGAGTTCTAGAGCTTTTCTTGCATGGAGAATTGACGTCACCCAATCTTCAAGGAGAGCTGTTAGGTCACGGTCCTTATCAGTTACTTCTAATCATTTGAAAAATTATAATAAAAGAATATGACAACTAAGAAATTAAAAATGTGCTAGTCTGCGTGGTTTTTGAAGATTTCTATGCAGAGTAGGAACATAAACGAGATCGATGGTAAACATGGACAGAATTCATTTTATCAAGCCTACCATTGTCTAGATCTTCAGCTTTTGACCACTCTACAAAGTAATCTGACACCAAAAACTCAATAAGCTGGATCCTGTCCTCGACAATTAAAATTGAATAAGTGCATTTAGCATGAAGAATAAGAATTCCCTCAAACTAAAAACTGTTCTAAGGAGAAAAATCACAGTAGGCAACATAGAAATTGTAATAGACAATTTAACTACAGGCTTTCTAGAACCAAATAGAAGATTGCTCATTGGATTAATTTGCAAATCAAGCTGACCATGAGCCATAGAATTCTTACCACACTCCACATGTGCATACAGAAATTATATTGAGAAAATAATTTCAGATTGACAGAATCTGTTGGCACAACATATGAATTTCATTCGTGATGTAATGATGAAAGCGATGCAGGGAACAAGTCCGTGGTGTACAGCATAACGGTAGAAAATTGGCTCTGAACTATTCATCATGATTATGGAGATAATGCAGTCTAAAGTGCATTTGCTAAAAACTTACATTATGAACATGCATTGATGCATATCAGGAAAGCCGTCATCATAAGGATCAGAGAAAAGAAAACGTTCTGCTAGCACAGAAATTCTTTGAGATACCGAAAATATTGCCCGCTGACCAACGTACGGCTCAGTTCCTAGTTTTCGAATTAAATGCTGGATATAAATTTGTGCATCAGAGCCAGTTTTTTGGGACCCTGAAAGAAAATGGTTAAAAGAGACAAAAGAACAAAGGTCAATTAATAGAATGAAACAAAAAACTGACAATGAAATTTTGATAACGAAATCACGGAGAAGAAAGGTCACAGACGTAAAAATTTCTCTTTAATCTGCAGAGGTATGTGTATTGCAATCATAATCGATGTAAATGGCATTCATGATCCTAGTCAATCCTCCAACTTCAAATTAGCAATACCTTCTAGTTGCAAGGGAGCACACATCTGCCTCACTAAACGCGTAACTAAGTTGTTGATGATTCCTTCAACAAGCTCCAGATTCATTCTCATTGACAGAAGGTTCTTAAGTGAAGCTACGGAAAAGACGTTCATTAATTTCAGCATGGATAATGGAGAAATGAAGTCAGGGTTTGCATGTAAAAATATGATGATGGTGACCCATACTAAACGTCGCAAGATTTCTAATGGCTCGAAGGGGGGTTCTGACGATTGCAACTACAATCACGACCTATGATGTCAGGGAAGTGGCATCGATGAGCCTGTGGGGGTTAACTCACAGCCCACCAGAACTTTGAAACGAGAAATTAACCATGTGAACTAAACAAGTCATTATGCATTGCAGAGATTGTATGAACTTAGCTGATATGTAAGCCTACATCCACAATATATCATTTGAAGTTACTTCTTGCGTCTTGATTTTTGATTTTGTAAGCTCAGAGACCATAGTGCTTATTGATATTTGAATTTCTAGCACCATGTAAATTCAGGCATTTAGTGTTTATAGCAGCTTCCTTTCTCTTCAACTCTGCTCATTTATGACTATCCAATAACACATCAACCGACCCCGCTTTCATACATACGGGCAGATGGCATAAAGTTTTAACCAAAAACCGACGAGACAAAACACTGAAAAAATATGTGACCAAGATTTCAATTATTAATAAGAAGAAAAAATATATTGTAGTGAAAATCAGACTACCCAAGATGAAGTCGACGGCTTGATGTGCCAGGTTCGCAAACTTGGACTCCACCTACAAAATAGAAAAGGAAAACACTTGGATGTATTTTTCACCTATAAATATGTATAGTTTCCTCTGATCAGGACATGATGATTGAGTCCTTTAAAAAATATTTTGCACATCATAATTTTCAATGAAAACTCGATAACGAAAAGTGTAGTATACAAGTTCAATAGTGCAATGAAAATTTCACTGGGATAAAATTTTGACCGAGCTGTTCGACATTTAAATTTTTCTGGCCAAGAAAGAACAATAGATAGATAGGCAGTAAATAGTAAAGGACACTGACAGGTGAAACGGTCTCGCAGAGCTCCACAAGAAAATCAACGGATGACCTAAGCTGCTCCGTTTCATCCTCCACTGTTGAACCTGCGTTTTAAGTTTTAAAATATATTAAAAGCAACTTCTCACCCAAAAAAAAAAAAAAAAAGCCCGGCATTCCAAAGCGTGAGTGTCGTTATCGTTATTGTTGTAGAAAACACCATTCTAGTTACAGACCATAAATTTCAAACCATAAAAGTTCAAATTAAAGCACCAAGAAGTGCTAGGGTTAATAATCGAATTCAGATGAGCAGAAAAAACAATAGAACCCCAGACCATTACTATGCAGTTTGATAATTGATTATAATTACTAAAATAATCAAAGGAAATTTAGTAGTCATTTATGTACCAAATGTTCGTCGTCGCTGACTTGAAGAACCTACTCTTCTACGTCTTTCCTTGAAGCGCACTGCACAAAACAAACATCCAAACATCAATCAGGTCCTCGAGAGCCAGCTCCATTAATGTTGATGATGACAACGACCACGACGACAGAACCTTGTCTGAGAAATCTACGGCGAAGGACGTCGTTGAATCTGCTCACAGAGCTATTAGCAACTTTCTTACCACTTGATTCCCCCAAATTGTCAAAGAAGTAACACTTGCAAGACGCACTTTCGGGGAACAGTTCACACTGCGAAGCATCTACATCCAAAACACCGAACAGTTATGTGCAACATCGTGTTTGTGTTAGACTATTGGTATACGTGCAAGTGAGTATAACGGAAATAAAACCTTGCGCTTCCTTTAGATCTTCTCTGAGCCTCAAAAGCTCTTGTTTTCTTTCCTTCGCCTAGGAATTTTTGCAGCGAAGCGATATCAAAATCTGTTTGGTTCTCAGGAAAACACATTGGGGAAAAAAGGATCAAAGGATTTCGAACCTTATGCTTCCAGCGGAGTGCATCAGATGGTGAAGGAGCAAGCGTATTTGGCTCCTTCCTCTTTTGTTGAGCCTTTGATCTGAGAAGGGAGATGGCAATGGCCAGCTTCAGCGATTCATCATCCTTCACACCAGTGCTTTCTGGCATTTTCTGTTCGGTTTCCGGAGAGGTAATGAAAAAGGCGGGAATTATGGCATTCGCTTTCCCTACTATTTATATCAAATATTTAATTTAAAAAAATTAATTTGTTAGTCCTTATAATTTTATTAAATTTTTATAATTTGACTAAATTTTGAATTAAGCCATTGTAAGTTTTTCTTTTTTGTGGAGTCCTTGTAATTTACACAGTTAAACAATAGTTTATGTTAATATGAGATGACATGGCGCTGAATAGGCCTGGTTGAGCAGACAGATTGCCACGTAAATGTTGAGATTTTGACCGTAAGAGAGGAGGCTGAGATTGAAGCAAGAGGGTGTTCCGCGAAGAAACACGTAGAAGACCCGAAATGATCCGGTGATAAACTGATAATTATATTGATATTCCTTCTCCCCTCTCCTTTTCTCTTGTTCTTTTTCTTCTTCTTCTCCTTGCCGTTCTAAAAAGCCATCACACCAGTTTCAGACTTTCAGTTGATCAATCACTCCTGAAATAAAGTACGCTCTTCTGCTTTCTCTCTTTCTTGCTTCTTGGTTTCTTCTTCTCTTCCACTTCACACAACCCTCTTCCTACACTCTCCATCATCATCCTCACCGCTACGGTTGCCCGGGACGCCACTAGAAACCGTACCCTCTGTGCACGCCACCTCCCTCTCTTATAATGGCAAAGTTCCCACTCTGCAATCCACCACCGCGACCGTCAAACAGAATTGGAAGCGTCCGTCGGTCACGATGATCTTTATCTACGCAATCCTGCTCGCATTCGCTCCGCTTCAACGGATATTCGCCTCGCTAGCGCCGTGGTCGGAGCTGAGATTTATAGTTCTGCCAATCGGGTCGGGTGTAGAGGTGTACCTGATGGCGGTCCTGAGCTCAGGTCTGGTGGCGTCGATCGGGGAGGAGAGGTTCGGTTGGGAGGCGATTAAGGTCGGGTCAGGTTTGATGGCGGGGAGGAGGTTCTGCGGATGGGTGTTATCGGGCTTGCTCGTGTAGGTGTCGGGTTTGATCCGGGGGAAGATGGAGGTTTTGTTGGAGGGTCCGATTTCATCGTCGGAGTTTCTATCGTCGATGGTTTCTACGGGTACAATGGGAATAATATGTGTATACGGGGCGGCGGTGTTACGGAGCTACGTGACGATAACGGTGTTCTTCGAGTGCCGGAGACGGCATGCGATTCGAGACCTTAAACACGAAGAAGATGACGAAACGGGTATTTCAATGCTGTAATTTTCTTCTCCGATTCTTTTCTGTCGTGTTGTAGGATTAATTTTGTTTTGATCCGGTTCAGATCCAATCTTTTTTTTTTTTGTTGATAAACAGTTCAGATCCAATCTTGTGTCAATCAACCAAAGAAATATAGCTAATTGTATACATTACATTTGGATTGGATGAGCTGTGTTCCATGATTCCATCTTAAATCTTTTTACAAGCTTAAATTGATTGCTTGTCTACCACTTTCCTTCTCACTCCAGCCTCAGCCAATCAAAACCTCAACATATACGTGGCAATCTTTATTTGCTTAATCCAGCAAATTTAGCGCCACATCATCTCATATTAGCATAAACTGACTTAGATAGATTAGGCGGGCAATTTTATTTACAATCTCTCCAATTAAAATAACCTAAATAATTTAAATAAAATTTTGTGTATCATCTTTTAAAATTAATTTTATTTTTATAACAGAATGCATATTTAATTTTTTATTTTTTTCTCTACTATTATTAATATTAAAATTAATTTATATTTAATATCATTTAAATGTTATATTTTTGTTAGATAAATTATAAATAATATGATATATCCTGTTTACTTAAGTATTTTTAAATTGATAGTGTTTGGAAGATTCACAAAGGAAAGGACTAAAATCATCAATGGTGTAAATTACAAGGACCCAGTAAAAAGAATTATAAGTACTTGGATTCAAATTTTGGTAAGACTATAAAGACATTAATTTTTCCTTAATTTTATACCCAAAAAAATAATCAGACGCGCCCCATAACTGAATATTGCCTTTCCATCGATGTGTCGATAATTGAAATTAAAATTGTTATCGTTTCAAAATGCTTATCAGTGAGCTCCAGTGTAATTTCAAATTATAGGTAATAGGATAATTTGATAAGGAAAAATAATGTCAATAAAGAACTTAGAAACTCCAATGTAATTAGATCATATTTAAGCGAGTGTCATGTGTCATTCATCGTAAAAATATCACATTAAGTAGAAGATCAAAATTCAACATTGCTGAGAAGCAGCATATATTTATACTGATCATCTTGCATACTTTAGACTAACGATCTGGGTTTGGTCATTCATTTTTATGCACTTGGTATTATTGACTCTTCTTGCTTGTTGATATAATGATACTTAATTATCGCTGGCCTTCGGGCCCCTATTTTCCCCAAAAAATTGATAACAATTAATAGATCATGAATAATTGGATGCCAAGTGCCAAAATCAACGAACATAGTTACGTACGGCCGATTGCAACCACTCCAATCTAAATCCACACACATTAGATTTATAAAACTAAATAATACAACATACTTCAAATGAAAATTAATAACATAAAATAAATAAAAACTTACAAAGTTATTTTCTCTCACTTTAAAATTTAAATAGATAGATGTACAATTTTTTAAGGAAAAAATTTAACTTAAGATAAAGCCATGAACTGGACCGTTTAGCATTAAAAAACCGAGGAACTAAAGAAATACGAAAACTTTAGGACAGCGATAAATAAAAAGAACTAGTGAAATTAACGGATGATATTTATTCAGGCCCCAAAAAAAAAACATAATATTTATGAACTGACCAGTATAACAATTACTATGTCAGAATTTTCTCAAGAAAAATAAAGCTAATGAAATACAAAAACATTCGGACCCGTGAAGGGCCACTATTGGAAGAAACATGGCACACGATAAGCCGACAGGGGGAACAAAATCCGTAGCTTTATGGTTGGACTCTTTTCCTCAATAAACACCTCTACGACCTCAAAAGTAAAGCAAAACAAAACAACAAAAATGTACAGCCTTAATAAAAGTACCTGATCCTGACTGAGAGGTCCACTGTCATAAAATACCGCAATATAAAAAGGCTCTAACTCAACTTGTTGGGGATAAAGGGGAATTCTTGGAAGAAACGTTCACCCAGCTTCAGGTATCATGCAATGTCTTCTGATGACTCTGATCACTTGAGCACGCCGCGGCAAGCCTCAATATCGGACGCTTGTGAATCTAAAAGAGCTTGCCCGGATGCAGAACTGATGATCCTTATTGCAGCATCAAATATTGCTTTCTGGAACAAGTCATCTTCCACCTTCTTAAGGATCTCTCTCACTACCTTAAAATCCAATCCCCCAGCCAAAATGAGCTTCCCAATTATCTCACCAAAATTATTTGGTGCTTTAGGTAAATCTATGCCGATGTCGTCTAGCATGGAACCAAACAACAAACAGCCAGTCCCTATATCTCTAGCAGTAAGAATCTTCTGAATAAAAAGATACTCAAGAAGATTGGCCACAATATCAACACAGGGTGGACTTTTATCCAGTGCAAGGGAAATGGCCTCCTTGACAAACTCGGGGTGGTAAGATGGAGCCTTTAGTTCTTCCACACACTGCAATGCCTCATCCAAAAGACGAACACTGAAATATTCTTCCAGAAGAGAGACAGTTTTGCGGCGAAGATCATCAGAATTTAATTTTGGAGCAGGAGCCTGTGGCTTCTCAAAGGACCCACTAGGGACTGCTTTCGCAGGTGTAGGGATTTGAGATGCAGGCTCAGCACCAGAAACAAAGTTTGATGGACGAGCAGGAGGAGCACCCCCACCATGCACTAGGGCGCTGCTTCTTCCACTTATGAGACCACCACTACCTTGAGGTAATAGCTTTGAGTTCAGGGCTGATGACTTTGAAAGTAAGGGAGACTGGCCACGTCCTGCAGCTTGCATACCTGGCATGTCTCCTCTCGGCGTTGATCGTGTCCTAGGCATTTCCCAGTTGTCATTATCAATTCCAGGCATCCCAGGCACCTTCCTGGTCCCTGGCATTCCAGGCATCATACCTCCTGTACCAGGTCGAGCAATTGGAAATCCACCAGGGCTTATATTTCCTTGAACACCAGAAGCTGCAGCACGGTTATTTCTAATGCTTGCAGTCGCACCTGGCCGCAATCCAAGATTCTTTTCAGCTTCTGAATGAATTTCAGTGATGGTTTTTGCTTTCACCTACACAAGTAGTTAACTATTCAATGCTTGGCCAAATCAAAAGTGCTTACCATTGGTTGGCATAACATAAAAAACATTAAAATTTACTAGTCTACCTCTTCACGTCTTGGAACCCAGTTATTAGCACGTAAATCCAGAACATCACGAATCATGAACCTCAACCGTGATACAAGTTGGGGGTTTGAGCTCAGTTCTTTCAATCTGCTAAAGTACATGTCGTTAATACGCCGTGATTTTTGGCTTTCATCAAGTTGTTTACCAATAGTATTGAAAAACTGACATATGGCTTCAACATTTTCCTCAACTGGACAGGACTTGCTATCAGGAGGTCCTAAAAGTGCCTGTTCAAAATAATGCTTAGCTACACTAGGATATATTCCATCCCATAATTTAACAGGAATTATAATTATAATATAGAACAGTAAAATATTAAATCTAATGGAAACCTGAACAATGTGATGGACAATCTTCTCAGGAACCATCTTCTGCTTCAACAGCTCCCCAATTAAGCGAATGTTTCCAAGAGTACGAAGTTTGACCAGTCTTTCCTTATCCCTACGCTCCATCTCCTGTTCAGGAGCAGTCATCTGCCTCACTTCCTCCCTCAGTTTATCAGCACCTTCAAAAGCCTCCTGGCAGTTATTCAAGAGCACTCGCTTAAATGTGACTTCTTTCCCACCAGGCTCATCAGATGGGAATGGAGGCAGCTTTTCATTAAGATCTGAACAAAGAAGAGCATACATGGGGCAAAATGTTGGTTCTAGTACAGCCTTATCAAATATAAGTGAAATGACTCCCTGCATTCCCAAGACAAAAAAACAATGCAAATCAGTTAAAGAACTAGGAAGTGGACAGAATATTCATTGCAGCCATTAAAGAAGATACCTTCAAGATGTCAGCAGATGTTATTCCAGAATCAATCAATTGACCCTTCAGGACGTCAAATTTCTCAGGAGTAAGCTTGTTCAGAATTCTGCGTTGAAACAGATGGCATTTGGCGTGACAGGAGTCAGGAGGCTTTTAACAAAGTTAAAACAAATGCAATGGCAAGTAACTGTTATTTTATATGATCCTACAGCTTGAAGTTATCATACCTACTTGTAAACATTACTTTCCAAGGTTATTTATCTAGCCTATTAAGATTTACAAAAGAAGGTCAAACCTATGGCCTAGCCCTGAATTCTAAAAAAAAGCATTCCACATTTTTGAGGACGCAATCCACATTGAACAATCATACACTCATATAACAAATTACCCTTTAACAGTTTTCAAGACACGATCCTTTTCAGATAGGTTTCCTCTTCTAGCTGACCACGGAACGTCAGCCTTAACTAAAGTTGGAGCAGGTCCTCCCTGAATAAAAAGAGACATCAAACAACTCATTATGCCACTTTTAATAAGCAGGCAACAACGGAACAATACCCACACCAACATGCAATGCAATCTAACGAATTTTCATATCAATATAACAGCTTTATTTTAAAATAAGTCATTAGAGTAATTTAAGCCAAACACAGTCATGATCAGTTAAAACTTAACAATCTAAAATGGAGTAGGTTAGGCTTCAAAAGAACATCACACTACACTAATGATTGATTGTGCTAACCCATAACTACCAGAATGATGATGATGTGGCAAAATGAAATACACATAATCCATAACATTCCCTCACCCCTTACCCAAAGCAAGACCAATGGATGATTGCAACAAAAAGCCTGTCATCGTCAAATGTAATCGTATAGAAATTCAACCCAAAAAATTACTAAAACTACATAAAACAGTTTCCAATAGACACAAAAGTATGTTCAGAACCTAGAAGATAACATGAAATGCCAAAGCTTATTATTACTAGGTTAGAAGAAATCTGTGCCCTTGCAAACTGGGAATTCAGTTGATCCTGCCGATTAAATTGACTGGAATCCTGCTGCCTTGAGTCAAACCGATTTCCAAACTCTCTATTTTCTCTCAGATTTTCCCATGACTTCTCTTCTGCAGAAGCAGGAAGTTGTCCAGACCGGCCACGCCAATCACGGTTGTCTGGCTCTGAGTATCGATTTTGAAATTGTTGTGCAGACTGCATAAGATGATATACGCAAAATCATAATTTTA